AGGGGCTGCCCAGGGAAGGGGTCGAGTCCCCAGCCCGGGGGGGATTTAACAGCCGGGCAGAGGCGGTGCTGAGGGACATGGGTTTGGGGGTGGGATGGCAGGGGTAGGGGAATGGTTGGATGTGATGATCTTAAAGGGCTTTTCCAACCGAAGCGATTCTATAATTCTGTGGGAATGGAGAAATCAAGTCATGTTATCAGCCAACGCGCTGCTGCGGAGTGGAGCAGAACCTCTCGGCTCCACCACTGAGCTCAACCCTGCAGATCTCACCCTCCTCAAACTGCAACGTTTGGGAGGTTTCCCCACAGCGCTGACCTTGCCTTAGCTGCGATCTGCACCTGCACGGCCCAGCCGTGCACACAGGAAAGCAAGAACCCAGGGCATTGCAAATGTCTTTTTAGTTTCTTAGCAATGCTCAGACTTCAGCCTGGGCGCTTCATTCCCACGGTGGGAGACGAGAGGGTTTGCAAGCCCTTGGAGACCAGCCCTTCCACCTCCCTTCCTGGACTTTACAAACCAAAGGCTTCAGAGCAAATTCAAGCATGGTGGCTCCTTTCTCCCAGCTCCCCGGGAACGGGGCTCAAACTCCGGGGAGGGCAGGCAGCTCTCAGCAAGACGTCGATTTGGGGAAGAAAGCTGCTTTTCCTTTACAGGAGGTTTGCAGGCTCCATGGATTAGCCTTCCCAGGGCTTAACCTTACAACTTTTAACGGGTACAATTGGGATTTGGGCTCCTGCCGCCGCAGAGGGCGCAGACGGAAAGGATGGAGGAGGAGAAGGGTTTCTGGAAATCGCTGGTGGCTCCTGAACGCTGGAGGGGAAGGGTGGGGAGAGCCCGGGATTGTATCGGCTGCAGGGGGATGCATTAAAATGCTGTTGGGAAGAGAAAATACTGGGTGTCCCTATTAAAAAAAGCACCAAAATATTATTTGGGAGTGCCAGGAATGGTCTGTGCTGGGGACAAAACCCAAGAGCAGTCAAAAATTATAAAAATTGTCCCTAGGGCCCATCAAAGCTCCCCACTCTGGTTTCTTTGCAGAAACCCCTTCTCCAGCCCTTCAAACAACGCTGCTTTTATCGAGAGGAAATTCAAGCTTCCCGCCACAGCACCTGCTAAGCCCCGCCGGCGCTCGCCCAAAGCCGATTAGGCCTCTTTTCGTTTCTTTTTCGCCCCGTTTTCCTGCCGAAAGTGGGTTAGGGCGCACACGGGGCGGCAGCTTGGGGCGGCGTGCGGGCCTCGAGGCACGTTTCCAGCGGCGTCTTTGCCCCGGGACCAGCATCCCGTGATGCTTTCGCCAAGGTTACAGCACAACCCCATCTCCCTGCTGCGCTCAGCTCCTTTATTTCCATTTATTTCCATTTATTGCGGATTTAGCCACAGGTAGTGCTGCTCCCACCAAGGAGCTGCTTTCCTGCAGCTT